TTGCTAGAGATATATTGAAGAATTAGGAAATATTATATGTTGACACTTTAGAAATACACTAATACTTTTTTCCCTCTAATGGTGGTTTTTTAAAATCCTGGAAAACATTAAAGTAATTGCAACCAGCTTTCCTGTATCAGTGCATAGTCAAAGCAACATTCTTATGTCTGATATTTAGTTTGGCATTATAACAGTATCTATATTAGAAAGTTCTCGACTGACTTCCTGTTATGTCTTGAAGCCAAAAACCTTTCAACAAATGCTATCTTTATTTTTAAAAATTTGATCAGTTTATTTATCATTGGCCATTTCTATTATTAGTTCAAATCTTAAATCCCTTTAATTTTCCAGTGTTTATGGAAATAGTGGCATACATTGAGGAAGTTACCGGGCTTGGGGTTCTTGAATATACTGAATCCTTTATCACATTCTTCTTGCCTTGGTTGTTGGTTGTACGCCTGGATTAAAAAATCAAAAATAGAAACGAAAACGACAGGTGAGAGACTTTTCATAATTCTATTGCTGTGTAACTATGTTTCTTTCTTGAAATTCCTACTCCTTGAATAATGAATTGGGCAAAATCCTTGCCTGAATGATGAAAGGAACAGTGGTAAGAAATACAGTTGAGAACAAAATGCTTCTCTGTGGAAATCTATATAATATATATTGTGCAGCAGTATGTCATTTACCACTTGGATGGTCGTTTCAGGAGATAGAATTAGGGAATGGGTATCACAAGTTGAGCTTATTGGCTTCTGTATCAGGAATTAGAGTTAGATCTGCCCAAGTTTGTACTTTTGTCCCAAGACTGACTCTAAGAACCTGGAAAAGCGTGAAGGCTAGGAATCCATTCACATTTGCTTCAGACTGCAGGGTACTGGCAAATGTTTATGGCTTACTTTGCTTGCTTTGCCTATGATTTCCTCTAAATACAACTCCCATGACAGAAAGCCAACCCAGACATTCCAGGCTTTTGCTAAAGGTTTGTGAAGCTGGGGGAGCAATGATAAAGAGGCAGTCACAGGGGTAGCAAATGGAAGAAACGTGCTATGTTACTCTGCTATGTTTTGGGGAAAGAGGGACAAAGATAAGAGGACAAGATGATTAAGAATAGATAATATGCATGGCACTCAGTACACAAGCTGGGTTGTGTCCTGATGTCTCTGTTGTTCTGTGCTTAAGAGAAATCTGCACAAACATTGTCAGGAAAGGAGGTGGTTCAGAGGTTAGTGATCTGTCTATGTTGAGTAGGTGGCTAGAAGAGGAATCCATGAACTATTTGGGGGCAAAGGCCAAACCTGGGATTCAACCTCTCTTAGGCTATGCAGATACAAGCCCCTGCTGACACCTGGGTCTCAAGTAACCCTAGGTTTCTGAAGTTCTTTACTTCTAGGCACTTTTTATGTAAAGATGTTGGTGAATTGATGATGGTCCTCAATAATATTATGCATTGTTTTAATAAGATCACTTTTTGCCTAAAACTGCCTCTTCTGAACAAAGAAAGACAGATGCAGGTTTTGTGAAACTCACTGCTTGTAATGTTTGGAGCCCTCTTTAAGGAACTAATGCAAAATTACAAATATAAAGTACAAAATTGACTACTCATTTAGAGTGAGGAAAGAAAACCGCATCGGAAGAGCTGACAGTTACCACAAACATAATAAAATTCAGAAAAATAACAATATTTGTATTGATAAACTGCCTGATACATTTCTATAATTCTTTTTTCCCTTTTATTATTTTTTGGCTGCATAATCTCTGATTGCCCTCCTTTTTTAAGACTTAAGTTTTTAGAGCAGTTTTAGGTTTATAGTAAAAATTGAGAGAAGGGTACAGAGATTTCTGATGTACCTTCTGCCCCCACACATTCACAGCCTCCTCTGTTATCAGCATCACTCATCAGAGTGGTTTACCAAGGATGAACCTACATTGACACATTATAATCACCTGAAGTCCATAATTTACTTTAGGGTTCACTCTTGGTGTTGTCCATTTGATTGGTTTGGATAAAAGTATAAGAACATATATCCATAATTATAATATCATACAGATTCTTTTCACTGCCCTTTTCAAAGCCTCTGTTCTCTGCCCAGTCGTCTCTTTCTCCCATCCCCTGGCAACCACTGATCACTTCTCTGTGTCCATAGTTTTGTCCTTACAGAAAATCATACAATTGGAATAATACAGTATGTAGCCTTATCAGGTTGACCTCTTTCACTTATTAGTATGAATTTTAGGTTCTTCCGTGTCTTTTCTTGACTTGATAGCTCATTTCCTTTAGTGCCTAGTAGTATTGTCTGGAACTACCACAGTTTATTTATCCATTCACCTACTGAAGGACATCTTGGTGGCTTCCAGTATTTGGCAGTTATGAATAAAGCTGCTATACATGTCTGTGTGCAGGTTTTCATGTGGATATAAATTATCAACTTTTTTGGAAAAATACCAAGGAGCACAATTGCTGGATCGTATGATAAGGGTATGTTTAGTTTCTAAAGATCTGATCGCCTCTTTACATGACAACAATTTTCTAATGGCATTTTCCGTAGAAAGGGTAAATCAATCTTTCCTCTAACATGGCTGAATGAAATTTGTATTTGATCACTGAGAGTTGAGATGCATAAAACAGGCTATTTCATATGCAGGTGTGTTTCCTGCTTATAGTTGTGTTCCTAGGTTTGTGTCTGGTAAGTTCTGTTTCTCATGGTTGCCAACAAAAGGGAAAAAAAAGTTGTGTGGTTATTTGCTCTTTGCCATCAAGTGTGTTTCTGTTAGGAGAGGACTTCTGTTTGAGTCCCACTGAAGTACCATTTTCTCTGTGGGCAATGTTACAGGCCTGGTTATTGGAAGAGTTTTCTGCAGATTAGCTTCTGGTTCTATACATTTCAGGTTGTTTCTCCATAGATGATTCACATGTTTCTTTTGCCGTTTGGGATCGTGGTATATGTTTTTTCATTATTCAACTCGTCTTTAAATGTATAAGCAAAATTTTAATATTTCTTTCTCTATTCTTACACATTCTTATTAAAATTTTTCTGGCTATTTCATACTTTGTTGCTATTGTGAAGGGCATCTTTTTTCTCCTGGGTTGTTTATATATTCATTGCTGGCATATAGAAAAGTTATTACTTTTTATGTTTTTATTTATTAGTTATTTATTGGTTATTTTGACTTGTTAATTATAATAGTTAAGATAGATACTTTTTGAGGAAGTGTTTTTGTTTGTTTGTTTGTTTGTTTACTAAGGGTTTAGATATCAGTGTTAAGCCAGTGGTTTTTGAGCTCATATAAAATAATCATATTTAATCATATTCTTTAAATCTAATTATATGATAAATTTGATTAAAGTATTTCTTTATATTAAGTCATAAATATGTTTCTAAATAAATCCTTTTTGTTTCTGGTTTTTTATTCTTTTAATATTCTGCTGAACTTTCTCCTAAACAATAATGTAGACAGAGATGTAGCTACAAGGTTGTTTATTGCATCAGTATATAAGAAAGCAAAGAGTTATAAACAACCTTAATGTTTAAAACTAGGATATTGGTTAAATAAATAAAAGCATGTATCTCCAATTGAGACTAGGCAGACAATATAAAGATGTTATAAAACTGTATTTCTGAATATGTTTTATATTTATGTAATTTGGTGAAAAAGTAGTAAGTATGGGATGAGCCCATTAAAAAATTGTGTTTGTGTGTGTGTGTGTGTGTGTGTGTATTTGACTATGTGACTGTGTTTGTGTGTATGTATCTGTCTGTGTGTATATACTTAGAATGATCTGTATTGGAGTTTATCAATGAGGTTTCCTCACCTGAATGGAGATTATATTTTTGTTTTATCATTATTATTTTTAGAAAAATGACATTATAGATTTCTTAATAAAAATTCTCATAAATATCTTATATCAATTGAACAAGAGTACAGTTAATATCCTAATACAGAAGCAACCATTGCTAGCAGTAAATGAACATCATTGCAGATATCTCTTACATACATATAAATACATATAAATACAAGAATATTTGGCCAAAAATACTTTTAAAGCTGTAATCATATGTTATAAGCCATTTAAAATTAAAAAAATATTTTTACATTTATGAAAAGAGAATAAATTGAAACTAAATAGATTATTCAATATCACAATATGGTGTGTATTAGTTTGCTATAGCTGTCATAACAAAATCCCACAGACTAGGTGGCTTATGCAACAGAAATTTATTTTCTCACAGTTCTGGAGGCTGGAAGTCTAAGATCAAGGTGTCAGTAGGTTTGATGTTTTCTAAAGCCTCTGTTCTTGGCTTGTAGATGGCCACTTTCTCCCTGTGTCCTCATGTGGTTGTCCTCTCTTTCATTTCTGTGTACTAATCTCTTCTTGTAAGGGCACCAGTCATATTGAACTAGTGCTCATCCTAACGGCATCTTTAAACTTAACTACCTCTATAAAGTCCTTGTCTCCAAATACTGTCAAATTCAGAGGTACTGGGGGTTATGACTTACTTCAACATGTGAATACTGGGGTGAGGGAACACAATTCAGCCCATAACAGGTTCTTTACTGAAAGATACTCTAATTCCTAAACAATCAGTCAGAGGTTAGGAAAAAAGGATTGTAAAAACATTAGAATGTTGGGTTATCTTTCTAAAACTTATACATTATATGTCTTATACTTCTCCCCACCTTGCTCTCCTTCACCTGTTTTATATATTGCTTTTGAATTGTCAAGATTTATATTATTTATGTTATGTTATTTGGTAAGTATAATTCCTATAGTCAGTTATTAGTTTTATATTTAAATTGGTTCAGTGGCCATTACCAGTCTTAACAGTTTCTCTATTTTATTTATTGTTCCCTTTCTATCATCAAGTAGTATATTCAAGGAAGGTCCATAAGTACTACTATTTCATGAATTCTTTCACAGGGAAGGCTGTCAGCCTTTCTCCAAGATCACAATGACTGGGTGCACTGTTCTTAGGTCTTATTTTATTTCTTTTCCACAGGTGATAAACTGGTCACTTACTAGCCAGTCCAGCTAACTACTGGAGGAGGTCATTGAGAGGATATGGCCGCTGGCTGGTTGACCCTCAAGTTGGGCCCAGGCGATCAGAGAGTCCTTACCCTCTCACAGTCCTTGGAATGTATGTTCGGCCTGCTGTCCTGGTGCTCGCAGCCTTTTGAAGGAAGGGGCCTTGAGTGAGTAAGGTGTTGTTGAGACCATCTGGACCAAGTGTGTGACTGACCCCAGTTAAGGGGCCTCCATATAAACTTTCAAGATTCCAGTGGGCGGGAATGGAAATCTACTCATCTTGCAGCCGCCCAAGACAAGCCTCGTAAGTAAGTTTCCTTGCTTATTAAACCTGCCACCTACCAATCTAGAGTGGTCTATCTCTTCATGTATGGGATCCAGTTTACCAACCAACCCTAACAGACATCTGTTTTCCTCAGTAATAGTTAATACAATTGATTTTGTTGCAGAAATTTAAATGTTGGGAGAATTAAGACAAAAGTTCGGATTTCTGGATTTTCTTAAAAATACCAAAGATCTGGCAATACAATATCCTGTTGACTGTTTCTTACTCCCTTAAGGCAAAATTGGCTGTAGCTATCTTGTTTTGATTGTGTGTGCTCTCCAATTACTGAATCCAATCACTTTTATGTGTCCTGCCCCATTCTTGTGGGCATTAGAAGTTTGCAACTTCAGCCTTGAATTGTTTTGACATTGCTCTGTTATTTCATGGCACTGAGTATTGAACTAGTCGTTTCACTATGACTTCCCCATTCATTTCTTGTTGGGTTTAGGAAGGTCTCATGTATTATATTTCCTAAGTTCCTTCATGTTTCAGAATGTCTGCCTGTTGCCCATATTCTGAAATATGTCTGGCTGTAATATATTTTGATATATTATAATTTTTTTCCTTCAGGGTATCAGAGGCTTAGTATGTTGCTGTGGAGAAATCTGCAACCAGCCTGATTCTCTCCTTTTAGTTGATTTGCTTGCTCTATCTGGATGGCAGAAAAAAATCTTTCTTTGTTCTTGAATCTTGATAACACCAGAGTATCTTACAACGTTCATCTTTCTGTGTCTTTATCCTCATAGGGAAGGTCTGTCCTTTAATCTGTGCTTCTTTTTCCTTTCAAGGACTTTTTAATATTTCTGACTATTTCTTCTGATTCATTTTTTCTGATCACAGGTACAGGAGCATAAAATATCCTCCCCTTACACTGGCTTTGCCCTCTGCCAGCTTCTTTCTAACTTGTTTTTGATATTAATACGATCTCAAGCCTATCCTCTACCCCATTAATACGACTTTTAACTCTTCTTTCTTGCTCTTTCTAATTTATCAGAAGATGTGTAAGGTTCCCATGCTGGTGTTGCCCTCTCAGCCTGTCTCCGCAGACTTCCTCTACATCCTCTCCTACTGTCTTGTGCACTTTCACCGTGTGAATTCTCCAGGTCAGTCTCCACGTCGCCTTTCTCTGAGCTATACTCTTTGGCCCGGGTGTGGTCATCACTTAGTCTTTCTCTAGCCTCAGGTCATGAGAGTGAGGAAGGTGGAAAACTTCTGTTTTTCCTTCTCTGATTTGGGTAAATTTCTCATTTCACAATCTGCTCCATCTCACTGGGGATGCGTTCTCTTCCAAAGCTCTTCAGTTTCTGGTTTGTGGGTGGAGCCCCGATTCATCCCGTAGAGAGTTCCTTTGAGTTTTTCGTTTTCCTTGTTTCACTCACACATTTCTCCCAACAGTCTTCTGTGTATTCCCCCCTCCTCCTCAGTCAGAGTAGGAAGAAATAACACTTCTTGTGGGTTTTAGCCCCGCTCTAATGTTAACTGGGGACCCAGAAGGGTTTCACCTTCTTCTTAATCTCTCAACTTTGGGCTCTTGCAGTTTTTGTTTTTTTTTATTTATCTGCTTGTTTGTCTTCACTTCTGTAGTTTATTGCTGGAGCTCTTCCGTGCCCTCTCTCTTTTCCTCTCCAGCTGCGAGAGGGTGGGTGGCTTTCTCTGGCAGTTTTCTTCTCCATGAGTTCCTTTGGTGGAGATGTTTGCAAAGATGTTCCCTGGACTTTCTTGCCAGCAACCTGTTTTCCCAGCTTCTCTCTATTTTTTGGAATCTTAGTACACTTTTGAGGACTTGGCTGAATCATCTACTTTCCCTATCATCTCTTCTGAGAGATGCAGATAAGATTAAAGGACTTCCTGAACCAAATAAGCATCTTTTATTTATTTGCTTGGCCATCTCTTTCTAAAATCTATGTCATGTATTTTTGTTCCTTTCATCAGGTGTTGGACGAGGCAGATTCTCTCACTGTTTACTGTCTTAACTTGGAAGTCTGAACTATTTTGCCATTTTTTCTTTCTTTTTCTTTTCTTTTTTCTATTAGGTGGGCCAATATAGGTTTATTTATTTAAATTTTTTTCTACCGTGGGCATATATTTCTTTGGTTAATTATTTTAAAAATTAAAAATATTCTATTGAAATAGATTTTATATCATTTACTTAGAGTTGTATAACTATGTTTCTGACATATTAGGCCACAGTTTCTTTTTGAGCTACTGATGTCAGTTTCACTACCAGAATTGTGCTGGTTATATATAAAGACATGGAAGTTGAAATATTTTTATGCATTCTGAAAAAATTTAAACTTTTGGAAATTATTTATTTCTTGAAGATTTTGTTGAATTTACTCATGGATCTTTCTGGTCCCAGTGGCCATTTCAGAGGTACATTTTGATAACTGATTGTTTTTCATGGATATCAGTCTATTTTTTCCTTCCTGAATTAATTTTGGTAATTATCTAGAAAATTACACAATTCAACCAGGTTTTCCATATTGGCATCTCAGATTTTTGTAGTTTTTCTGTCTGTGTTTATAAGGCATTTCTCATTTCTTGTGTGTGCATTTGTATTTCATCTTTTAAATTATTACTTGTTCTAGAATTTTGTTTCTTTTCTGACCTTTCCAAATAACAAAAGCTTAGATTTCTTTATCAAGTCTAGGGTCCCTATTTTCTAAACATTAATTTCCTTCTTTATTTATTGATTTGAATTTGTATATAGCAGAATATCTTTCCGTACATTTTAGGTGGGTAAATATTTTATTGGATTATATCTTTTTACACCCCCCTTAAATCTATAGGTTTTTACCATTATCTTTCAGCTTTTGATATTTTAGAGGGAAATAAAAGGTCAGTCTCATTTTTGTGCTTTTGTATGTGACATGTATATTTTCTACCTAGATTCTTTTACATCCCCTTGTTTTTCTAAAATCAAAAAAAGGGGAGACATGATGTATCATTATTGGTCTCTTTTTTTATTAAGGTGTAGTTGATTTACAATGTTTTATTATTTTCAGGTTTAT